ATATAAACTGTTATACTTCAAAGGGCAGACAGATGGTAGATGATTGATACATGAAAGATAGAGAGAGAGAGAGATAGGTAGATAGATATGAATGGCACCATATGCTCTAGTATAATTTTCATCTAATGTTTGTTTCATACAATCAATAAAAATAGAATTGAAATGAAAAACTAATTAGTGCATTAACACCAAAGAATTTTGCCAGATTAAAACTGTAATTATAGGTGAAAATCTACCATTTCATTAATGGTATGTTACAACTACTGGTAAACACCTTTGAAAAATAATTCTGTCATTTATTGAGTATTGCTTATGTTTTCATAACTTTAGATATTATATAATTCTCAAGTCAAAGCTGTGCTTCATGTTTTCCTGATGAAAACAAACTGATGCTCAATTTGCTGCACTGTCCAAGGTCAAACACCTTGTAAACAAAATAACTAAAACTCATATCCAAAGATGTATCCAGGGCTCAATTATTATTTGTCTTTCCCATGGCTGCTCAAGTTGGTTCATTTCCATGTGTTTTAACACCCTTATTTGTAATTGCCTAATTTCGAATTGCCTGTTTTTATTCCATGTGGTTGAAGTTCTTCTTCCTCCAAATAGGGATACATTTTAAACACAAGCTGAAGAGTTGTGCAAATTCTCAAGGTTATGACATTGACAATCCAGTGTAGTGTCTTTCACTCCATTTCATCTTCATTTTTAATATAGATACAGCTGTGATTCTTTAAATTTATTTTAAATTGGTTTAGCATCTCATAGGATGAAAAATTCAGCAATAGCAGGAGTTGTAAAAGTGTAAATGGAGATATTAACAGTGATTTATTTGTGATCATTTATTAAATATATGGAGATAAATGTTATAGTTTGTGGAATTTGAAGAAATATAATTTAAACCTAATAAAATCAAATACATCTAGTTGATTTCAAATTACTGAATAAGATAAAGGAATGAAATAAGTAAACCAAAAAGAAATGCTGTAAGCTGAAAATATTCCTTCTTTTTAGTTCTTAGCTGTTCTTAGGCAACATATTCTTGTTATGAATCCTTTTTAATCATGATTTTAAACCATCTTTCATAAACTTATAAATAAATGAATTATTTTCAAATATAATCGCATCTAAAAGCTTTAATTTAAAAGGCAATTCATAAAGAAACCACATCACATAATTTAAAAGAATAAAGTGTAAAACTCATAACATTGTTTATATACTAAACGAATCCTCTACACTTTCAATTATGAACTAGAATATTAATGATGCAGGTGAGTCTGGTGACTTCCGCAGTCCTCAGATGTTTGATGAGGATAGAAAGAAATGGGCATTAGGCTAACATTAAAATTCAATACTACTATTTTTTTTCTTTTAAAATAGATAATATGAACTTCTTAGCTTAAAAAAGAACACTTTTTAAAAAATACTTTTGTGTGATTTATTTAAAAATGTTCTCTTTCAACCTTTAAGTTAAAAAAGAGGGATTGGTTTTTGTTCACATCTTTGTGTGTGTGTACTCATGAATCTTCTTGGAGGTTGGTTGTGTGCTTAATGGAAAAGTAAATTATTTGAGCACTTTCAGTATCCATGGTGTAAAGTTTACAAAAACATGTTAAGAAACCTGAAAAAAAGTGAAATTACCAGAAAGAGTAAACCATTGATTTTAGCTTAGTGGCAAAGGACATTAACAGATATTTCTCAAAAGCAGACATGCATGTGGCTAACAAGCATATGAAAAAATGTTCAACATCGCTAATCATTAGAGAAATCCAAATCAAAACCACAATGAAATACCTTCTCACACCAGTCAGAATGACTGTTATTAAAAAGTCAAAAATAACAGATGCAGGTAAGTTTGCAGACAAATGGAATGCTTGCATACTGCTGGTGGGAATATAAATTAGTTCAGTCACTGTGGAAAGCAGCCTGGAGATTTATGAAAGAAATTAAAACAGAGCTACTGTTTGACCCTGCAATCCCATCACTGAGTATATACCCAAAATAATATAAATTGTTCTACCATAAAGACACATGCATGCATATATTCATCACAGCACTATTCACAATATCAAAGACATGGAATCAACCTAGATGCCTATCAGTGGTGGACTGGATGAAGAAAATGTGGTATATGCATTAGAAATACTATGCAGTCATAAAAAAGACAGAGATCATGTCCTTTGCAGCAACAAAGATGCAGCTTGAGGTCATTATTCAAAGCAAATTAATGCAGGAACAGAAAACCAAATATCGCATATTCACACTTATAAGTGAGGGCTAAATATTGAGTACACATGGACACAGGGATGGGAACAATAGATACTGGGGCCTAGTTGAGGATGGGAGGGTTACAGGAGGATGAGGATCAAAAAACTACCTATCACATACTATGCTCACTACTTGGGAGACAAAATAATTTGTATACCAAATCCCAGCAACATTCAATTTACCAATATAACAAACTTCTACATGTACTCCTGAACCAAAAATAAAAGTTGGAAGGAAAAAAAATGCAATAAACCAAATCCCACTTAAGATTCATGTGAACCAATATAAAAGAATGTTGTTAGCTTCATTTGAAATAAAATATTTTTTCTCTTATAATAGTCTATAATTGCGTGTGTGTAAATGTGTGTATGTAGGTTTGTAATTATATAGATATTTAGTCCTTTGAAGCAGAATACTACATGTGTGTGTGTGTGTGTGTGTAGGTTTAAAATTATATCGATAGATATTTAGTCCTTTGAAACAGAATTTTATATATATATATATATATATATATATATATATATAGTCCTTTGATATAGTCCTTTGAAACAAAATACCGTAGATTTTTTTTCAAAAGACCGAAAGACCATATGTAATATTTTCCCACAAAGAACATTAGTACTTTTCAATAAAGATTAAGCACACAAACGGTTTGTTCATGGTGAGAGGAAATGTATACATTTGATTGTTAGTGATTTAGATGCCAGTAGTTATCATAATTTTAGGTCCTGACATAGCGTCATACATATAGCATATATTCAATAAATATTTGTTGAAGAATAAAGCATAATTGAATATTAGATTTTTGTGTTACAAATGGACCTTTTAAAAAAAGTCAGTATATCTCCCTCCTTTCCCATTGAGGCGATTCGTTTATACAGTCAGAACTTAATAGTATCACAGATATTGTGTTAGTATGCAGTGATTACATTTTATTTAAACAGCTGTTTGTGAAAAACCTTACAGAGCATCACAAATTAAAGCAAAGTAGAACTTTAGATAGCTTTCATTTTACATATTATTATAAAGCACTTCTAACTTTTTCTTCATTTTCATTATGTCTTTTTGCCCATTTTATATATAATTTTTTACAAGAAAGACCTTCAAACTCTTCTCACAGATTTAGCTTCAATAAAGTTCAATCATACAAAAACATACCTAGCTATTTCCGAGAAATTCTTACTGCTACTACCATCAAACTTATTTAGTCATCAATCTTGTATATTGTATAATATAGTTGACGTCATTATTTAAAAAATGGGAAATTATCAGACATTAGAATATTTTTCTGAAACAAAAGAAAGACCATTACAACTGTCAAATCAAAGCTAGCAAATCAACTTAATATCAAGAATTAATTAAAATTTCAAGAAAAACAGTCTAATTGAACAACCTTTAATAACTATGAATAATAATGATAAACATAACCTTCATACAACTGAATTAAATATAATAATATAAAGTCCTCATGAATTTCAAGTTAAATTGTTAAATTTCACAGATATTAGTAGAGCCAAGGTGACATTAAACATATATAAGAAATAAGAAAAAGACAGACTTAAATACGACAAATTCTCTCTGAGCATTGCTTATGTAGACATTAAATTTAAACCATGCTTTTGTTTGTTTGTTTGTTTTTGAGACGGAGCCTCGCTCTGTGGCCCAGGCTGGAGTGCAGTGGCTGGATCTCAGCTCACTGCAAGCTCCGCCTTCCGGGTTCCCGCCATTCTCCGGCCTCAGCCACCCGAGTAGCTGGGACTACAGGCGCCGCCACCACGCCCGGCTAATTTTTTTGTATTTTTAGTAGAGACGGGGTTTCACCGTGTTAGCCAGGATGGTCTCCATCTCCTGACATCGTGATCCACCCGCCTTGGCCTCCCAAAGTCCTGGAATTACAGGCGTGAACCACTGCGCCGGGCCTTAAACCATGTTTTTCTATAATGGCTTCAATTTTTTTTTTTTTTTTAATTTCCTCATCAACTACTAACCACTTAATGACTGCTCAGGAATACTTTTTATATTTCTCAACCGTAACATAGTTATTTCTTCTGCCTTTAAGGATACTCCCACCTTTATAAGGTTGCTTTCTTTGAAACAAAAATTCTTATATGTATAACGATACCAGAAATTACTCATGGAGCCATCTGGGACAACAGACATTAACTTTTAGAACACTCTATTAGTAGAATAAGTAGCTTCACTCAGCAAATCACTTTAGGATAACATGTATTTTGAATATTTACTTGCAAGTTCTATGTGGAGAATAATTTATACCGACCCCATGGACTATGTCAATTTTAGAACAATTTCAACACTATAGGTATTTTTACATAGTTGCAGAGGAGTAGCAAGTTATTAACATTAAACTGGAATTTTTAAAAAAGCAAAAGCTACCTCTGCACACATGAACATCTTACGTATTTTTGTACCTCTCAAGACAGGCAAAAACTGTGTGTCATGCTAACATTTTAAATTGGACCAACATGTTAAAGCCCCGTATATTTTAAATCTATATTCTGCAAGATTTTGATAAGTCTTAAGTAACACTCAAAAAATAAAATGTACCATAATTTCTCATATTCTATTCCAATAACCCTAATTGACAGTAATTTAGGTGACTTAATTCTCATAATTAAGTAAAATTGAATCTCAATGTTTTTAACCTTTCTAAAAACTTCTACAAAGCTCCAGTTAATGTGCTTTCCAGGCTATAACAAAGAAGCATACTGTACCTCTGATGCTGCTGGTTGTTGCAGATGTGGTTGGGCTGGTTGTTATGGCTACAGTGGTTGTGACTGTTGCAGTGGTAAGGGAGGGGATGATAGTAGTGGGAAGCAAAGTGTTGGGAACATCTGGTGAGTGGAAAAAAAAATATAAACAAAATCATATCATGCAAACAAAAGAGAAACACAAATGATTCAAATTATAAATACATATAACTTATCGAGGTTTAACTTTAACAAGCTTTAACAGAACATCAGGTACAAAACCGACTGTGTCACACAATTCTTGTCATTTTTTTTTCACTTTTTTTCGTGCTCCAACACAAAGCAAAAACTTGGAGCAATGTTTGAGAATAAGCAGGTTGTTTGCAATATTGAGAGTAAAATGTAAAATGACAAGAATTCATTTGTTCACTGAGTCATTTAAAAAGTTTGACATGCATAGCAAAAAACATGTAGGTAAAAAAAAAATGACATGCTTTGTCAAAGAAGTAAACAGAACGACACATACAGAAATAAACACATATACCACCATATAAGATTAACAAAATGTTAACAATGAATGTGTAAATGCATGTTAAATGCTTTTTGATTTTTTTTTTCTTTTAGGAAGACTTAATGATAGGAAATGAGAGCAATCTTTAGAAACAAACAAACAAAAGAAGCCAATTGTTATTATTATTGTTATTTTGCTTCTCCTGTTCTCACAAATGATGTTAATGCACAGTTTAGAATCTTGCAATTCTTACCCTGTTTAGCTGGTAACGCCTTCTAATAATTTTGCAGTACCTAGGAGTCTTTGGCAAGTATTGAGTCAACTAGCATGGCACCCAATATTCTGAAAGGTTTACGATTTATTTTAATATGGCATACCTAGGAGAGGTTACCGAGCATACACTGGAAGTGTGACATTGAACCTTTAATCCATAATTTCTAAGTTGCCAAAAGTTAAGAGTAGCTTCAAATACAGAGAAAATAAAACCCAGAAAGAATAGTGTTTAATGCCCAAATCCTCTTTCCTTTCACTCAAAATCAGCTGAAAATATGAAGAGCAGCGCAGAGAACATTGAAACAATACAGCCACTGTCAAGCTATGAGAACTTCAGTGATATCCTCAGAGAGTCAAATCTTGTCTAAAGTGCGTGTAATCTACACAGTGAGGAAATTAGAAACAGTTTCCAAATTACCAATAATTACTGTGCTGAGGTTTGATTTCACATGTTTGTCACATAGCTCCCATATATTCCGAGTGTTTGACAGATTATTTTGTATTAAAAAGTTTCCTGTCATTCTCTCAGTTAAAGTCTTTGAGTCACACCAAACATTTTCTAGTACTTGACTGCTGATAAATAGCCCTCCTCACTCTGTAGACTCTACCCGCTGAATTTTCTACACTGGATACACCGGAAAACAGCATGAGATCACTCTCTTATCTTGAATATTGATGTTTACACCTGTTTTTCGACAGGGAAAATGCTTCCTGGCCAGTCAAATTAAGAAAACAACCTTCTGAAAACTCAGTGGTGCTGCATTAATCACTAGGGACAATGGGTAAAGCCTGGAGTGCGATTTATCATTATCATAAAGTAGAACTGACTTTAATGACATTATAAATGAAGAAAGATGATGTATATGGACAAAGATGCCTCTTGTTTACTAATTGTTATAATAACTCCTTATTTCAAGGTAAGAGTTCTTAAACAGTTTAGGCGGACAGGAGGTAAATGAATACATTTTCTACATGTAAAAAACTGTGTAATTTTAACTTTTATACATATCTGAAATAGAAAATAATACATTCTTTCTTAGCAAAATTATTTGCTTATTAGGATCTCAAAATATATGCATTTAATAACTGCAAAGGCCAATATCTTCCAAGGATAGCAAATTTAAGAACAAACAATACTATTAGTCATTTAAAACTCCATGTAAATGAACTGTTATTTCCAAATTTATCACAGATTATAACACATTGGTTTATTTCCTATCACATAGTCAGTTCGAATATGATTGTATTGGATCTTATTCTAATAAGAAAAGTAGTCTTTCAAAATCAGCCCCGTCATTGAATTATTAAGAGAAAGAATACAAATAATGGGATTTCATTTTGGTTTTAGTTTAGGCAATAATAATAATTATTGTTGTTGTTATTATAGTACTATTTGGAGTCCCCCCCAACCTTGCCTCGCTTATTCCACGTCAAAAAATATAGGTAGTAATAAATCCTGAATTTTTTAAAGACAGTCTATATATTTTCAAGTACTATGAGCATTCTTGTATAAAGCAAACCATATCTTTATTTCTTGCAAGTGTAAAAATGCAGTAAGCTCACATTTTTCCATAGGTTAATACTCAAATTTAACTTAAAAAGATAAGTAGTTTTAATAATTGTTAATCCACTTCAAACCAACATCCTTAGAATCTTTTGAAATATACAAATAGACAACATTACAAATTATTATTTACACACAGCCTGGTTCTTTTTTATCTCTTCAGCATCCTCTTTTATCCTCCTCTCCGACTTCATATGTAGCTAAAACCAAATTGACTGAAAGTAATTTGGTGGAAAGTGCCAAAATGACAGTCAGGTTTAAAAAATGACTTGTCGTGAAGAAACCTATGCCTGTTACTTTACATGTTTTTAACTACTACTAGCTTCATTTTGTTCTATGTGTTTTAAAACATTTTTGTTTTTCTAATAATTTTGAGGGTTTTATTCTGTTCTTTCGTTATTTGTTAAAGACCACCCCATTATTTCAGCTATATCGTGAAATAGTAAAAGTTAAAATAAGCTAAATATTCAGCACCAGAATATTAATTGGAATAATTGAATAAAATTGAATAATGTAAGATCAATTGAATGAGCTGAAACTCTCTGAAAGACCAGGACAGATGCATGAAGCGTCTGTCTTCTACCTGAACTTTCTACCTGCTCTGCTTTTCGTGCTATCAGTGTCCCACTAGACAATCCGTTCTTCAAGCGAAGAGCTCTGCCTAGAATTCTGCACATTTTTAAACCTCTTACACTGTTAATGAAAAGAAAACTCCATTAAATACGGTACAGGGTGGAAACTGCAGCCCATTTTATCCCTTGTAAGATGATACCACCTAAAATATTCCCCAATACTGAAAATATACTAATTCATACAAAGAGAATTTATACACATGCACACATACATCATAAAAATACTAAATACTGGTTCAGCATTAACTTATTAATTATTTCTATAGGACAAGATAATCCGCAGTTATACTAATATTTTAAGTAATTTGCTTAATATGACATGGCAGTGTCAGTATATCTTAATATATGCCTTATATATTAACATCCTATGATTAATCAAACGATATTTGAACATAGACACCAAGACAACTATAAATAAAACATGGTCAAATTTATGGCATGTGATGCATAATTTATGAATATTGGAATTTAGAAATGATAACCATCCAATACACAGCTCAATTTGTATATTTCACCTCTGATTTCAACATTGCAAAATATGAGCTCATTTTTTTTTTGTTTTCTTTGGAGAGCATATTAATTTAACCAACTATAAATGCATTTTCCTGAAATAAAAATGTAGTTATAAATGATAGGTTCAGCACTTCGAATTTACAAAAGAAATTAATTGTGTCATATTATATATTTGTAGTTTGTATTTTTAGATGTTACGGTATAAAGAGTGAAGAGTCAGCAACTGATAAAATATGTAGCTAATAGAAAAGGCATTTGAAAAATGAACTAAGTGAAAGTAACTAAATTTTGTCTAGAGCTGATCAGAGAAATTAGTAATTATACATAAATTATTTAGACACAATTTAAATCCAAACAAGATAAATTTCAATGATTCATCAAAATCAGAATTTAAAATACTCTCATTAATATGAAATTGGTTTGCTATCTAATCTAACAATAGTTTTCAGGCTGTTAAAAGTTTTAATCACAATAAATAGGAATGTGTAATGATAATTTCTCTGAAATTATGAAATCATAATTATGTGTTTTAAATTTATTTAGCCAATTTATTCTCACCACATGCTAAATACCATATATCACTGTATACTAAAATAAGTAATACTTGCTAAAATAAATTGATGGTTTTAGATAGGATATGAAATGAATTCATACAGATCCAGCGTTCATTATCTAAACTTTAAATATATCTTTATACATACGTTTTATATATGTACACATTTTACATAAATCCTGGACCTCTATCTGTGTGTGTGTGTGTATGTATAAAGAACTTTTATTTAAAAGGAAATGTGAGCCTTTTTATTGACAGGAAACTGAGAAAAGTAAAGATTCCAAGATATGAAAATATCTTCTTATAATTTTGCCTACACATAAAGTTTGATTTATAATAAATTATACTTTTCATTTCACTTATAACATATATAAAGTACTGTTTTCATGTAAAACATGAAATTTGGGAGTATTTCAATAACAAACAGAAACCCTAAATCTAGTCAATAGAACAATTTCATATTTGGGCAGACAAAGTCTAACTAGGCTGCAAAAGTTATTCATGTGAGTGAATGTTGGGGGGCCAATAAATGCATTGTAAATAATCTGAGTACTTCTATAAGAACTTAGTCACATGCAGAAGTATAATTGCAGCTAAAGCAACACAATTCCCAAATCAGGAAACGAAAATCTGTTTACAGGACCATGGCTAAACGTTAATATGATAAATTCATCAGTCCATCATCTCTTCTGCTCAACCTGCGTGACTGATAGGAACTCCAAAACTGTGCCCACCGTTGTGCTGAGACAGCCATAACGTTAAGGTTTCCTGGTACAACAGGGGTTAGAGTTTCTCATAGGATACATGTCTGGCTTGTTTTCTTAATGCTTCAAGTGCTGAGTTAATGTAGAGAAAGAAGCTTAAGCCTAGCACACAAGAAGACATCTGCCTCTGACACAAGTGCTTTCCCCCATGACAGAGCTAGACATAGCTCTTTCTGTTCTTTGTGCTGTGGGTTCTCAGAGGCACACCCCGTTTCACATTTGTTTTCTCTTTCATGTCCATCCTTTAAATCCGGGTTCAAATAAGATCTCATATGGAAAGCATGGCCCAGTTCTGCAAAGAGTAATATCTTCCTTCTCTGAGCTTTTAGGCATT